AGGCTTGCGGTTACACAACTGGTCGGGGTCCGGTTACACAACTGGTCGGACTTCGGGGTGCACAATAAACTACCACTCGCTGGTTGAATAGGGGATGCCTAATAAACTATCCACCTCTGGCGGTAAAAAAAATCAATGAAGTGTGCAACTATGGTCTAGTTGCAAACATGCAATAATCCAATGGATTATTGCAGTTGTATTGTTTGGACCATCTTGAGTCTATTCGTTCTGTAATAAGAGACAAAGCCCTCGCTGATAGATAATAATAAGATATACAACAGTATAAGCAGTGCGCTTAGCACGTCAGCCCACATTTAAAATCTATATAACAATAATAGTAATGTTTGTTCAGGTAAAAGTAAATACATTCAAAAAGTTACAAGCAGAATGTTGGACTTGTAGATAAAGGCATATTATGCCTAATGCCACTAATACGTTCAGCGTTTCGGGCATATACCTATAATGATTTTAGTGTAGATATTTTGATATGATTTTGCAATATGAAAGAGGTTAAGACAAACTTATTTAATTCATTCAATTGTATAAGGATTAATCGCCTCGCATATCTGAAAAATACTTTTGTATTATTATGATATAATACTCATGTGCCATCTTATTATTCACAATTTTAACTTATTCTCAACATTGGGCATTTTATTATTTTGGAAGAGGAGAACGGAAGCGAACACTCGCCAGCGCATATATGTGTTATTTATTTGCGTTTTTGTCTACAAAACACATGCATTTTTGTGGGGTGCATAATAAAGAAATTGAATTGTCTACAACACATATATTTGCGTTTTTGTCCACAACACATGTATGTGTTTTTGTTTACACCTCGTGTATACAAAAGGGTTCCTGAATATAAACCTGTTTGTGAACGAACTGGACTTTTGTGTATACGGAACTGACGGCCTCCGAAACATGCGTCGAGGCGAGTGTCTTACCACTGCGCCAGGGAAACTTTATTTATTTATTTATTTATTTATTTATTTATTTATTTATTTATTTATTCATTCATTCATTCATTCATTCATTCATTCATTCATTCATTCATTCATTCATTTATTTATTTATTTATTTATTTATTTACAAGAAACTTTGTATTAATTTCTTCCACAAGGAAAGCAATATTATCCAGGGAGCGGAAAGACAAGACTGGGGGTTTATATAGACCTAATCTATTACAGTCGTTGTTGTCGTTGTTATAGATTTTCAGCTACTCTGAACAAGTGCCAAGTAGCACGGGCTATGGTGATCCCGTAGTGGACTTACCAGGCACAGGAGCGGTCTGTCACAGCCCTTTGAAACCAAGTAAGAATAATTGCTGAACGCGTGGAGAGAGAACCATTCCTGCACTGTGTGAATTTCTCCCCTCACAATGGTCAGTATAGGCGTATGAGGTTGTATAACAAATTAACATGTTAAACTATGGCGTCTGTATTGACTGGAGATTTGGCAATAACAGCAAAGACTTTTTTTTTTTTGTTAATCAGTCGTCAGATGTTTAGTTATGGGCGTAATTGTCTGGTTCTTTCGTGACTTGCGAGCAGGAATTCAGGGTTCGAATCCCGGGCGGGACAAATGTATTTGCTGTTACCTAATGCATCTGTTCACCTAGTAGTAAAGAGGTTGGGGGGGGGGGTATGGTTGTTTCGGACACGAGACGATTCGACGAACATTTTTTTCTGTTTATTAAAACAGTATATAATTTAATAGGCTTCAACAGTATATAATTCAATAACTATATTATGATAGGATGTATTAGCTTAAGTTAGGCTGCATTGGGCCTGGTTGGGTTAGGCTAGGTTAGGTTGGGTTGGTTTGTGCTAGGTTAGATTAGGTAGGTTTCAAAATGCTGTGGCTAGTTGTTTTGATGTTACGTATCCAAATAAGTACTCGGGTTATCCAGCTTATGGTGGGGTTGCATCCTGGGGAAGGTTAGTAGCTCGATCTTGAGGGGGGGACTACTATGTAAATATAAACCTAATATGTATATATACACTGGCTGCCTGTCCCTTGACATAATGAATTATTATTGCTATGAAGTATATATATACATTACTATTGTATATATATACTGTATGTATATTACTGAAGTATATATATTACTCGTTAGTTATTATTATTATTATTTAGTTTATTATACACTCGTTGCAACCCGCAACCCGTTCTCGCAAATTTAACTGGTTAAATTTGACACAACATTTTTAAATTTTAAATTTGACACAACTGGATTTAAATTTTTCCCACATTTTTTCTACTTACAGTTGAATGAGCCTGTTCAGTGCAATTATACAATTTAAATATTCATACTGTATTTTTATAACATTTAATTGCACAGTTTTCCATATTCTATACCAAGAGACTTAAGTTTTTAATCACATTCACGTCCATTGTGCTAGAGTAGCATCATAATTTGTGGCTGCATTATAGGCCTAATAGTCAGGAAAACCTTATGCTTTGTAATGTAACAAAGTTTTTTTAGTTTTAATTGTGATATTCTTTTGCAGAGTGTTACGTTGCATACAGATGTTGGTGAAATCAAGATCGAATTGTTTTGCGAGCATTGCCCCAAGACCTGTGAAAACTTTTTAGCTCTGTGTGCCTCTCATTATTATGACAGTTGCCTCTTCCATCGTAACATAAAGGTGAGCTTCGTCAGACTGAGTGAAGGAGTTTTAAATTACCTATGTTTTATTTTTTTTAGTTACTGCTTAATGACTGAACTAATCATTACATTGATTATAAGAATTAAAATATTTTAAATGTAACCTGTTCCCCCAAAATATTATAATATATAAAATGGATATAATTTTATTGTCTTGATAAAAAAAAGGACCCTGGAGTCAAAATCCACCACTCATTAAAAGTTGCACAACAGGTGCATGCACCAGTCAGAATAGCTAACCATACTCTTGGGATAATCAAGCGTACTTTTGACTTTAAGGAAAAGAAGGTAATGGTTTAACTGTATAAATCTCTCATTTGCCCCCACTTAGATTACTCTATCCAAGTGTAGGGAGACTTGCTTTGTGTCCCCCGACACAATGAATTATGAATCATTATATATAATATAACCTTTAGTGGCTTATGACAAAATGTTGAGGTGAGGTTTACAAACAAGAAAACAAGTGGCAAGCTTATAATACCTTTTCACTGTGACATTTTTCAATTTATGGCAATTACTCATGTTCATTTGGAGCCATATTTTTGAGCTACAGCATTAAATTACTTCCCAAGGTAAGAGTTAAGCACAGGCACAAGAAAATAGAGCAGAATAAATGGGGACTTGCCTGAGAACAACTGTATGCAATTGTTCAGAAATAGTTTTAATACTAATTCAGGTACTGTACTAGCTTGTTAAATATTTATATTTATATTATTATTTGATATTTCAGGGTTTTATGATCCAGACTGGTGACCCAACTGGTACAGGGAAGGGGGGACAGTCTATCTGGGGGCAAAAGTTTGAAGACGAAGTTAGAGATGATTTGAAAGTAAGTGTGATATGAAATTATTTGTTCCCCATGCCAGTGGAAAATAGTATATAGGGTCTCCAATTTTTGTGCTCAGTTCACTCTCTTGATCCAAGTTTTCTCACTTATCATAGCTGTCCATTTTACTTAGCCTTCCTCTACTACATTCTAATTTGCATTAACGAGTTGTTAAAAACTCTTATCATCCATTCATTCAATATAACCAAACCATCTTATCTCTCCTCAATGTCATGATTTACTGACTTTTCTATATACAGTATTTTCATTCCTTACTATACATATTACCCTAACACCACAGTGCATCTCAAATTGTCTACAGTATTTCAACAACTCTTGACTCTTTATTTCCTATTCCCTGGTGCCCTTTGGCTTTCCCTCTAGCCTGATGTCTGGTCTGGTTTGTTGTCAGGTAACCAGCTTCCTTCTGTCAACCAGGGGTTTGTGTCTGGTGTGACTGTGCGTGTGTATTCTAGTGTATCTGTAGCCCTCTTGTTCCTGATATTGCATGGATTCTTGCTGCACTTTGGTTTGCATATTCCTCCCATTGTTCAGGTTAGAGGGTCGTGGTAGTACAGTTGGGTTCATTTTTGATGCACAATCGAGAATTCCTGGTTCAAATCCCGGGCTGGACAGAAATGGTTGGATCACATTTCCTTTCACCTAAGGCCTCTGTTCACCGGGCAGTAAGTAGGTACTTGGGAGTTAGTCAGCTTGTTGTGGGGTTGCATCCTGGGTGGGGTCAGTAATTTGACTCTTAGGGGGAATAGGGGGGACCTCGATATAAGCCTAACATGTATGAATATACTGTACTCTGGTTTCCTGTTCCCCGAAACAGTGAATTATTATTATTATTACCCATCCTCCATCTTTTGTCCCTGGGTTTATGGTTCTGTTCTGCTAAGTCTGTTGATGTGGTTTTGGTTCAGCCTTCTGGCTGTCTTTCTGCAGTTCTATGGTGTGGGCAGTTAGTTGCTTTTATCAGTGTTCTTTGCATTTTTATTTAACTGCTGTCTGGACTTGGGGTTTTGGTGGTCCAATGGTGTTTGTTTTTCACTGTTGTATTTATTAAATGTTTAACAGGCTTTTGTTTTACCTTTGGGTCTGGTGTGCCTTTGTAGCTCGTCTAACCCCAATCCCTCTTCCTTTCCCATGCCTTTTCTTCTTTTGCAAATGCAGTAGTAAGTTCCTTTCCATTAAAGCCATTCTCCTCACTGTGGTGTTACTGCGGGTAAGCAAAGGGGAGGTACTGAGGGGGACTTCCCAGAAATCAAGCATTAAATATAATAAAATGCTGTTTTCTGGTAAGGCCTCAATAATTTGCTGCTCTCTCCTTGTCTTTTCTTTCTCTCATGCTGTTTTTGGGTGTTCTGTACTGGTGACATGTTGGTGTGACAGATTGCCATTTTTTCTCTTTTTCTTTAATTTCTTTCTTTCAAGCATTGGTTTTTTGTTTTGTCAGATTTTCTGTTTGGTTTTCCACAGTTTTGGGATTAACTCTGGTCATCAAGCTCCTCTTGCACAAATTCTTTGAGAGCCAGATTCTAGTAGTGGCACCCAGTACATTAGTGTGCATCACAGAAGCCTTGCACAATCCTAAGCCTATGCAGTACAACTCATAATCATCGAGAAGCTAATGAGGCCTTACCAGAAAAGGGAATTTCATTACATTTAAATCTTGATTTTTTTTTTTTTATAAATGTAGGATCACAGCTCTTTATCAATTATCTGGCACTATATCATGGTCCTAGACTTTCAGGCAAATTTTCCTCACCTATTCCAGGCAAATTTTTCTCAACTGTTCTATTACTTCGATTCTGCATTTATTTATACCTGCATATACTATACCTGATATGTGTCTTAAAGCTTAATAACAGATTATTGGAATACTTTTAGTTAGTAAGCTATCAGTACCTTCTAAAAAAAATTTTGACATTGATATTCTAATCATAGGATTTAATTTGCAGCATTCTGCTAGAGGTACAGTGTCCATGGCTAACAGTGGGCCGAACACGAACGCTTCACAGTTCTTTATTTCGTATTGTCCACAACCACACCTCGATCTCAAGTATACAATATTTGGAAAGTGAGTATTTAATTTCTAATCGTGTTTTAGCTTTAAATATTCTCTTTATATATAGTTACATCTATTCAGCTACATAATATTCAAATGGAGGAACATAGATCTGTGTAAATGCCTCGTTATGTCACCAATTATTCTATCAAAAGACCTGTGTAAATAATGTTGTTATAAGTTAAGACTTGGTTAGGAACTCTAACTGCAGAAAGAAAATACAGTGGTACCTCGGAATGCGATTGTCCCTGTATGCGAGGTTTTCGGAAGGCGAGCAGTATTTACTCCAAAAATTTGTCTCGGAAGTGTAAATAATGTTGTTATAAGTTAAGACTTGGTTAGGAACTCTAACTGCAGAAAGAAAATACCTGTTAATGCCAAAAATAAATATATACTGTATATAAACACTTTTGCATGAATTAGCCCAGTCAATTGAATGATTAAAATCTCTCGAGTGAATAAATATCTTATTTGTTTGTTGACCAGACCACACACTAGAAGGTGAAGGGACGACGACGTTTCTGTCCATCCCGGACCATTCTCAAGTCAATGACAAGTTCTCAAGTTCATCGACTTGAGAAAGGTCCAGAACGGACCGAAACGTTGTCGTCCCTTCACTTTCTAGTGTGTGGTCTGGTCAACATACTTCACCCACGTTATTGTGACTCATCGCCTGCATCCGTTTTATTTTTTATTCATATATATTGTACAAGAGTTCTTACATTCTTGTAAAGTCATTAGCATGCATAGCATTTAGAGCAGGAAATTGGTACCTGGGAGTTAGCTTGTTAGGGGATTGCATTCTGGGGAGGGTCAGTAATTCGACCCTGGGGGGGGGGGGACCAGTACAAGCCTAATGTGTACTGTATGTATATACTGGCTGCCTGTACCCCGACACAATGAATGAATTAATTATTATTATTATTAATTTCAGAGTTATTGATGGTTTAGAGGTGCTCGACGAGCTGGAGAAGCTACCTGTCAACCCGAAAAACTACAAACCTACTACTGAGACGAGGATAAATTATGTTACTATTCATGCTAATCCTATAGCATGTTAAGGCAATTATTTTTCTTAATTGTATTATATTTTGAATGACAAATGTATTGAGATTGCTACTTCTCCTTTTAAAGTACAAAGTAATTATGACACCATAATATCATTACTTGTTTCTGTTTTTGTGGTGTAGGAAAGACATTAATTGTGAGACATGTGGGAAGTGGTATTGGAATAGGAATGTTATAATATTAAAAATTGTCTCCTGGCCCCCTCATTGTCTCTTACACATTACATATTATTACATACCCTTTGTCAATTTAATTTAATTGGTGGCTTTATGAAAAGTGACAGTAGTAAGCTTCAGTTTTAAGTTAATGCTTATACTGTGTTTATATTTTGGCGAATGTCCATGAGAGGTCATCTTATAGCAAAAAAAGAAAATGGCTTTCCTGCTTTTTTATCAGTGTTAATAAGAATAAAAAAAATTTCCAGTAGCAACATTAAAATTCACATAAACAATTTTTAAATGGTGAAAATATAAATGAGAAATAGTGCAGTAGTCTGTGTCGACAGCTCACAGCCGAGGGTCCTTGGAAAGGTCTGTAGTTGGCCTGGGGTATTTCAGTTAACCTAAATAATGGCTTCCTGATCCCAACAATGGGAAACCAATATGAATGCCCGCTGAACCTTGCTGGTTAAGGTCAGTTATGTTTGTCTAGTACACTGACTGCATAGGTGAGTTCTCAGCCATAACCTTAGTCTTAGCTCAGTAGCACCCTCTGAGTTCATTCTGAACACTTCTTCAGAGTGTGGAACACTTTATACAGTACTGTACTTTAATGTATAAATAAAAGGTGAGAAATTATTATGTATTGTTTTTTGTGAAAATCAAGAGGCAATTAATGTGAAGTGTTTCATAGGGAGATCATTTAATGCCCTTTCTGTGAATTTTAAATTTTGCATGTATGAATAATGGGTAGAACCTTCACAAGCCATGGTGTCTTGTCTTCAATGAAGCTACTAGAAACAGTTGCTAGCAGGTAAATACATCCCTGCAAAACACAACGTAACAGTCCCTATGATTCCCCTTGTTATAACTTGTAATAAAGTTATTACATCTTGTTATAACATTTTTATGATGTATTTGAACATTGTTACAACTTAATATATTAGTTGTTACAATTGTTAGATGTTAAACCTTGTTTGAACCTTGTAGCAACATCGTAGTTTCATCGCAAACACGGGATAGCATCAACTGTATGATGTATACATGTACATGAATAATATTGCTGGAGCAGGGAGTAAGCTTATCTAAATATGACTGCCATTATAAATTTATAGGAACCCACTACATTGGTGCAATAAATGCCTAGAGTAAACTTTTCAAAGCTAGTGGCCTCTTAAGTGATAAATCAACCCATCCTCCGAATTGACAGTACGATTTAATACTAAGTGTAATAAGTACACTTTCTTACTGTAATAAGCAGTGCATAATTGCACTTATGGGGCTGTTACATTGACCCAACTCCCTCCCCCACTTTAATTCTTCTCGTTTTCTGTTAAGTCACTCAGAATTTTAGGATGACGTTTTCAATTTCGATTTGCAATATACAAGTTTTAAATATCAGGAATTTCTTTTTCAGGTTAATTAAACAATATAGACTTTATACAAAATTTTAAAATATCCTGTTACTTTAGAATTTATTAATATATTTTAGTTTTGTTTTATTAGTTTTATAAAACTGTAATATCAATATAGCTATATGTTAAGTACTAATTGTAATTAAGAAGCAATACAATTATTATCTTCAAAAACTAAGACGGTTAGGTGAGGTTGTGGTTTTCTATTCAGTTTTTCAGGTAAACTCAAATATTCACAATATATCTGACAGTACGATTTAATACTAAGTGAAAATAAGTACAATTCCTAACTGCTATGAATAGTACATAATTGCACTTATTTGTCTTCTTACATTTACCACCCCATTTTTGGAGGACGGGCTGGATAAATGTTACCATATTCTTGGTCTTACTGTTTGTGTGGTGCAGTGTATGTTATTCCTGGTCTTGTTCTGCCAATGCAGACGAGGAGTCACAATAACGTGGCTGAAATATGTTGACCAGACCACACACTAGAAAGTGAAGGGACGACGACGTTTCGGTCCGTCCTGGACCATTCTGAAGTCGATTGTGTCCTGCCTTTGTCCTGCCAATGTCTCTTATGTAATGTATCTTGTCAAAATATATACCGTTAACCGTTTTTGTTTGTCTATTCTGAATATGGGCTTAGAAAAGTACTAATTTAAAGATGACAACTTTATTTTAAAATTTGTTCAGTGTCATTTCAGAAGCTTGTAGTATTATGTAAGGAAAAATTTTGATGCAGCCACAAAAATGAGCCCTCTGGATCACTTACTGCATGTAATATTTACCCCTCCAACTGCACAACACGGTCAGGGATATTTTTTCTGACCAGGGGGAGAAAGTTTTGCGAGGGCAGCGGCGAGGGCAGGCGGAGTGAGGCAGAGCCCCATTGTGCGCCCGTATTTATACGGCCCCAAACTGCCCGCGCAACGCCGCGGGACGCGCTGCGCAATTGTTTCTTTCTCCCCCGCCAGAAACATCCCCGCTTGTGATGCAAGCAGTGACCATTAAAGTACCATATAAGATTTAACGCTACATTAATTTAACATTTTTTTTTTAAATTTAATTTAAGAAAGAGTTTAATTAAATATTTTTAACAAACAGATTTAACATTTTACCCTATACCATTTAAATTTTGGTTTAATTTTCCAAGTTTTTTCTTGTTTTCATTTTACCTTGCTTCTTTTGGATGTGGTGTACTGAAAATCTTGTGGTTATTTGTTTGGGTTAGAGTGATCATAAATTCTCTGCTCCTTGCACCTCTGTGAGGGGAGGGGGGGACCAGAGACCAGAGGTTCTGGCCTCTGGTCTTCCATTGGGTTTTAAAGACTCCCAAAGGCCTTGTGCAATTCAAATTGAGTGGAGCTATTCAGGAGCAACAGGGAACCACCAACAGAGCCCTTCCAGAGAGGAGATATTTCATCCTCATTTTACAAGAGAGTTACATTCTTGTAAAGCCACTATTACGCGTAGCGTTTCGGGCAAAGTCCTTAACCCTAATTTCCCCGGAATACGACCCGCCGAATCGTTTAACAACCAGGTACCCATTCACTGCTGGGTGAACAGAGGCTACAGTTAAGGATTGGCGCCCGGTCAATCCTCCCCGGCCAGGATTCGAACCCAAGGCAAGGCGCTTGCGAAACGCCAGGCGAGTGTCTTACCACTGCGCCACGGAGACTGCTAACATTTAAGTGGGAATTGTTGTTGAAGGTATATATGAGTAAAATGCCATATAATATTTTGAGAAACTAGCATTTATTGACACTCATTGTGACAGCTAACTTCAATTTTATCATAAACATTTACACAAATATTTGTACAAAAAACTTCATCTACAAAGCAATAATTTTGCGTGTTGTTGCCGCACAGTGTGCGTTACACTTAACGCTAGTCTGAGATTATTCTTGAGCATCACATCTGGTGTGTAAGTAACTCATCATAAAGATCCCAAAATCACAATAGTAAATTAGTAATGTGTTCCTAATTAACTCATATTGATTGGAATTCCTAGTGGTAAAAATTTATAATATCTATTAAATGCAGACTGTATATATGTGTGCCCCAGTATTTGGAAGAAAAGTGCATATCAGTACTGTATAAGGGGTTTTATTTAACTATATTTTATATTAAGTGATGACATAATTAGCTGGGATTTAAAGTTTTCTGAGGGGAGCCCCATCAGCTCCCTGAAGCTATCAAACTGACATGTGCCATATTAGTTTGGTGCCATCAGTCCTTGGAGTTCGAGTGCCTACCAAGAGCTCACGAGCTAGAACCTGGCCCACTCAGAGGCACAGGGAACAATAGCCATACGAGTTCTCTATATTAAGTTTGTCATTTCTGCCATTGACTGGGGAAGGTACCCCAGCAAGGTAGGTGAACCATTGCAAACCTTTTAACTGGTTAAAAATGCAACCTGTGTCCAAACAGAGGCCCAGAACTTCCCCCAAATAGAAAACAATAAAACAAGTAACAGGTCATCCAACTAGCATGCCCCCTCATTAGTGCCTCACCCTTACCCCGAGAGGGGACGGGGGAGATCCTGCTCAGGCAAGCAGGGGTCCGTCAGTTTGTCTGCTGGTTGTCTGGTGTCCTGTCTAGCATCAAGCTATTATCTGGCTTTGTTTTGTAACTTTGCTACAATGCAAAGTGGTGAAGAGCACCTATGTGTGGTGGCCAAGTGTTCTTATAAGTCTTCTGGGCTGCATGCGCCTAGGGTTCCCTTCCCTAGGTGCTCGTAAGTACTTTCCTTGGGATTCAGGGTTACCTTCCTTGGGTTGTTCAGCTCTCATTCCCATTAAAGGCCTTCATTGCTTTGTGCTGTTCTCTCCCTTGGGGTTCGCCGGGGGTCTTGGTCTTCTCGTCTTGCCCCGGGTAGGGAGTGGGTTTGTGCTGGGTGGGGTGCACTGCAGCCGGTGCAGCTTGCATCAGCGGTGGCAAAGGTTTCTATGAGAACCGGTTAATCTGTGCATGTTGTTTCGGGGTTCTTTTTATTTGTTTTTTGCGCATTTTGCTTTTTTGACGGAAGAGGTCAAAGGTGGTAGTGAGCTCTGGAGGTTCCATGACACCCCTCCCTCCCTCCAGTCGGCAGTTTTTCATCATCCTTCGAACTGATGGTTGTGCGCCCTGTTCGCCTGAGCGGGGTTACCTCTCCCATCTCCTTCCTGTTGGAGGAGGGTGAGGCGCTAATGAGCGGGTGCGCTAGTTGGATGACGTGTTGCTCGTTTTAATGTTTTCTACTGGGAGGGAGTCCTGGGCCTCTGTTTGGTTGTAGGTTGCAATTTTAACCAGTTAGAGGTTTGTAATTGTTTACCTACCTTTCAGGGTGCCTTTCTCGGTCGATGGCAGAGATGACAAACTCTAAATGTAGAGCTAATATGGCCATTGCTCCCTGTGCCTCTCTGAAGGGGCCAGGTTCTGGCTCGTGACCCCCGGTAGTCACTCAAACTCCAGGGACTAATGGCACCAAACTAATATGGCACATGTCAGTTTGATAGCTTCAGGGAGCCTCTGAAGCTTAGCCCAGAAAATGGTGTTTCATTACATTTAATGCTGGTTTTATGACCGAGTCATATTATATGTAAGCTGTTCAGCCTCGAAAAGGACACGTAACTATTGTACTTACAATATTGGGGATAATGCTGGTGTGAGGAACACTGAGGGTAAACACAAAGTTCTACCTCACATGTGTGTGTGTGTGTGTGTGTACGCGCGTGTGTGTGTGTACTCCAGTCAATTTTTCACATCTTCATTATACTTATTCATTCAAGATATTAAAAATGTACAATGTTTCTGTAAAGTGCACATTCTCTTTTGCTTCATATGTTAATATTCTCTTATTCTAAGCAACAAATATTGCTAAACAACTGTACTTACATATAGTGATATATAAATGGTCATGGCAAAAAGTTGCCATGAGTTCCTTGATATTTACCTAATAAATACAGTACATAATATTTAGTACAGGGAAATTACAAAATGCATGTCTATCATTAAAATATTATAGGAAATGTTACTGAGTAGATTTCCCAATAGCATTTTACAATTTGAATTTTACACAAAAGATATATTTACATATTGATAAATATAGTAGGAATATGAAATTAAATGCTATAAATTTTGTTTATATCATATACCCATTAGACACTAATTGGTAATTGGGGATAACATTCTATAACTTCATACCAAAAGGGCCTTGTAGAGTATAATGCTATACAAGTATTATCACATAAAAATTATAGATGATAACAGTGGCAGAGGTTAGAATGAACTTTGCCAAAAAGTTATGTACAAATAAAATGTGATTCTTATTTACTGGCTCGCTTTAAACATTATCACTTAAAGTGCAGACTGACTTAGTAATATTAGGAGTAACCTTCGTGCTTATTGTGCCTAGGGTGTATTCGATAGCGACTAAAATAATTGACCTCGGTAAAAGTAAGTTTTGCAGGCAATGCATTTGATGTCCATTCTAAGGTTAAGCATTGTATAAAACTTCTAAGTGAATCGTGCAATAATAAGGTAGTTTGATGGAGATAGTTTAGACTTGTGCACAAGATGGGGATGAAATTGAAATATAAGCCACTAGAAGATACTACTTAGTTTCTTGGGAGATCCTCCACCAGGAAATGTTGGTCTTAACTCCTATGGCTTAGTTTTTGGGAAATGTTCTTAATGCATTAGTCTGTTGACTGCAGAAATATCAACATTTAAAATCCTCTGGAAATATATGTTTTCTGAAATCTAACAGCAAAGAATTTAGAGCTTTTAAGCGATACTTTATAAAATAAAAACCCTTCATAAATAATTACATAATTAAAACAAACTGTTGAAGGTGAGAGTTGAACAAATGTACTAAGTTCAGATTTGCACAAATTGACCAACAGTGTGAACACTTAAAATTGCTTCATTGCATTACATTTTTTGCATTGCATACTTGAACACCCGAGCGTTGTATTTATCCTGCTCTTGTAACTGCAAGAATGGAAGATAGACAAGAGTGCTACATTTCTAACTGTAAATGGGTGACAGACAGTGAGTTATGTGGCATTAATATTATATTGATCAGGAACAGGAGAGAAATATTTTCTGTGTATGATTTAAATACATTTATACTTTACTATGCATATTGCTGCTATCATAAGTATAATGGGTAATGTAACTTGAAATCATTTGCACTGATGCAAATGTACTAGATTATGGGACAAGAAAACTATTTTAGATTAGGGTTTTTCTAGGGGTGTAAGGACATACTTTAGCATTATTTCAGATACAAAGATATTCATGCAAGCTCAAATTTGTAACTGCACACATTATTTATAATTATTATTTCATTATAAATTTGTGCTTGTATGCAATTATGTTTGTGTGTTCTTAACTACAATAGCTGTGTTTGCATGGATTGAACTCCTGCTACTTGGCCCCATTTTTTAACTTCCAGTCATCCTGTGCGATGATTCCTGACAGTCTTGTGCTTTATCATATCTACATTTAAAACTGTGAGTTAAGGTGGCCTTCACTACCTCCTCCTCTAAATCATTTCACTTACTCACTACCCATGCATCGAATAACATCATCGTGTATCTATTTTTGCGTTCTTCATATTTATTCTTGCATCCTCGCATCATGTTCCTTCCTGTGGTAAATTATATGTTCTTATTCACGTGCAGATGAGGAGTCAATAACGTGGCAGAAAAATGTTGACCAAACCACACACTAGAAAGTGAAGAGACGACGACGTTTCGGTCCGTCCTGGACCATTCTCAAGTCGATTGTCGGTTTGGACCATTATCGTCCTCGGCCATTATCACAATCGACTTGATACTGGTACAGGACGGACCGAAAGTCGTCGTTTCTTCACTTTCTAGTGTGTAGTTTGGTCAACATGTTCTTAGTCACTTTGTATTTGGTTATCTTTTATGTTGTAATGAAGTGTAGGTTTCATGGTGTTGCATGCCCTTGTTAGATTCTGCATAGGTGGTTTCACATTATTACATTGACTTGGTTCTAATTGTATTGCCAGATTTGTATATGCTACATATATTATCCTGCTCATATGCTCTTCCAGCAATGTAAATCATATGATGTCAACTCCCAAGGTCTTTTTACCTTTTCAATTCTACAGGAGCTGTTTTCCTCCATCAGGTTACACTGTTGATTTGGCTTCCTTTCTCTTGCTTTCATCCTCATTACCATGTATTAGTTGGGATTGATATCCAGTATTGCCCTTATTAGACTACTTGTGCAGCTGGTTCAAATCCTCTTGTAAAAATTTGCAGTCAGTCTGTCCTTATTCTCCTCAGAAATTTTTCAATACCAGTATCTGCAAACTTCAACATGTGGTAGTCTTTGTTGAACAGAGAACAAGGTACAGTACTAACAACTCCTATATACATATTGAAGTCTTGTTGCCAGGTGGATTTTTACTTAAAGTTTGGCTCATGACTAGACAGATGAGACAGGGTTAATAAAGAGATCAAATGCTTGATTTACCCAAATATATCTCTAAATATTTGACGTATGAGAGCTTTTGAATCATTCTTTGCTTCGTGGGACACTTTCTGTTGATTCTTAAGATTTGTTTGCTCAGATGTTAAGGTCCCATCATGCTTGGTTTCAGTGTTGTGTTTTTCTTCGATGTTATGCTTGGCTTCATTGTCATGTTTACTTTCCATGTCATGCTTGGCATCAGTATTGTGTTTTTCTTCCATATCATGCTTGACTTCAGTGCTGTTTTTTCCTTCCATGTCATGCTTGGCTTCAGTGCTGTTTTTTCCTTCCATATCATGCTTGGCTTCAGTGTCGTGTTTTTCGTTCATGTTATGATTAGCTTCAGTGCTGTTTTTTCCTTCCATGTCATGCTTGGCTTCATTGTCATGTTTTTCGTCCATGTCATGCTTGGCTTCATTGTCATGTTTTTCGTCCATGTCATGATTGGCTTCAATGCTGTTTTTTCCTTCCATGTCATGCTTGGCTTCATTGTCGCATTTTTCGTCCATGTTATGATTGACTTCAGTGCTGTTTTTTCCTTCCATGTCATGCTTGGCTTCAGTATTGTTTTTTCCTTCCATGTCATGCTTGGCTTCTGTGTTGTTTTTTCCTTCCATGTTATGATTGGCTTCTCCATCATTCTTACCTTTCATGTCAGGATTTTCTTCCATGTTTTCCTTTCCAGTTAGAGAAATGTTTATTTCAGGGGGATTTTTTTCTGTCACTTCATCTGGGCCCACACCATTTTCGGCCACAGCTTTAGTTGCCTGCTGTTGGCTGTCTGCACTGGACAAAATTGTTGGTAATATAGGGGATGATAACTTAGGAGTATCTCCAGGTTTTTCTGTGTTGCATAGTCCAAAGTTGACAGTGCTGAAGCTCATATTCTCACTCTTGATAAAGTCTGGTTATCTTAGACAGATTTATCTTAGATCTGCATCGCTTTTCTTCTAATTCATAGGTTATTTTGTCACAGTGGTCATGTAGCTGTGAAAGGCATGTTGGCCTGAGTTGTGGTCACTTGTCTCCATAAAACTAGAGATCTGACTTGTGGGAAATTTCCCAACCTAGTCATACTTATTATTACAGTATACATATAAATATAATTGTACAATATATACACAAAGAAGATGCGTCTTCCATTGCTGTATTACTTCCATTAAATTGAATCTTTTAATTAAATCATAACATTAAACCAAAGAACTGTATGTAATTCTTCTGTATCTTTGTAGAGAAATTCCATGTGACATAACATGCCAAGTACACAGGAGAGTTAACGGGCAAATTAATTTAATAAAATTGTGTACGGTTTGCTTTGCTGGTTGCAGAACCATGCATACCCCATTTCAACTTTTGAAACTGCTTTCTTCTGACTGAAAAAAAGATACTGGCCCATTCTCCCAAGCTATTTTCCTGTTTGTCACTTGCATTCTGTGCCTTTCACACGAAAATCTGGGCATTAAAGGTCATAGCATTTTCTTTAAGAGAAACTTTGCACATGACTGGTTTTCCCAGGAACACTACCCACCTAGACCTGGATATAAACACACGTTTACATCCAGGTCCCCACTTACTCCTGGTGAAACAGTTAAACTGATTTGTGACCAATGAACCCTACATGGCCTCAGGCTGGGCTCAGGGAGTAGAACTACTCCCAAAACCCTCTCCAGAGCTTGAACCCCACACAAAATCACTTTAATGTACTAACGCTGTGCCACAGGGACAAACAGTACCGAGCCATAAATTATTTTTTCCATTTTTATATTGTGTACTGACGAACAAATAAATAAATAATGCAGTAATAAAGTTTAATATTTTCTCATGGTTTATAAGAAAAGGGATTCTTTTTCATGTTAAAGTAAAATGAGAAAAAAAATGTTTGATATAATATCATGTATGCAATGTTCAGGGAACACATGTGGGCTTTTATCGAGTTTCTAGGGAAACACGTTTTCCATTACATAATGGAGACTATAGATGAATTTTAATTTTGCAGTTTTAATGGTTGAAAGTTATTTTTCCCAAATATAAAAGTTAAGAAATACAAAACATAAATCAATAAGTACTGTACTCAAGCACTTCATGACCAGTTATGAGAAGGGGCTTATCAGAATAACCCCAAATGGAATCTTTGAATACATTTTAACATCGTACGAATTTCTCTGTTTGGATCACACACCAACTTAATGTCAATGTGTGAAGAATCAAAAGTTTATACCACAACTGCAAATAGGTAGCAATTTTTAATAAAGAAAAACGCAACATTAAATAACTAAAGACGGTATTTATTCGCATACACTCACCCCGCAGTCAATCGGCATCTTATTGTCTGCTTGTTACAAGAAATTTTCATTACATATACACTTGTACTAAAGAATTAACGATTATTCTATAGGCTCAACTTACTACATCATGTCATCTCAACATTTCTCCAATGAAAACACAGCTGTAATTAATCTGCCAAAAGGATAAGAGAAAAAGAAAGTCAAAGGACAACTTTTACATATATTCTTTGCCATTATTATACAATTCAAAATTAGCATTTTTGGACAATTAAAAAATAGTCTAAGGTGTTAAAAATATATATAAATTAATTGGTTTCACTATCATCTGTGGATTTTGTCTCCATTTCCCCCAGCTTCTTCAGTTTTGCAATGAAAAATCCATCCATGTTATAGGCATGGGGATATATTCTCTTGCAGAGTTGCATTGTAGGAGTAAATCTGTAAAAAATAAAAAATAGAGAACACTTTGAAAAAGCCAAGTGCCCTTATATTCACACTGAATTATATTATATAGCACAGCTCAGCATATTCTCTACAACCCTAACTAAACCAATTTGTAACACTGTTAAAATAGTTCCTTAATTATGCATTTACTGAATATGTTTGAAAAAAAAAATCATAATAAAATCCTTTTAAATATTACAAAACCAGACAATCCACATCAACTAATTTTGAACTTGTGACACTAATACATAAAGTTTATGTATTATTCTGAGTGATCAGACATTTCACATGCTCAAATGATAAAAAAAAAAGTTGGAATCTGGGCACGTAATTGATATAACACACATGAACGTGAATTACAAGTGACATGAGGAAATATTAAGACCCGAGTAGCTCAGGGATGGTGGTTCGATTCCATCTTTGGGATCAATGAAATGATCCAAAGCCAAGAAATCACATTTTATGACAATGTTATGACATTTTCTCATAACCTCCTGTTTGTTTACCCCACAAAAATACATGATGTATAGGCACTGACTTACCTATTCTCTCTGTACTTGACATACCCAGGCTTGCCAATATCTAAGCCTGTAGGAACCAACTTCACGTTTCTTTTCTTGAGTGCGTACTCAACCACTGCTTCATTTTCCTCGACCTGATAAAAATTAGTTACACTGCAATTTGAATGTAGTCTTAATCCACCAATTTAAAGTGGTAAAAGCAGTTATAGTTCTCAAACATTAAACAGTATCACATCCTGATTATTAAGCAAGTATGACTTGCCAACTTTCATAACCAAGTAATAAGATGTAATGAAGCAAGAATATCTTATTTGGAATTGCACAACTGCAACCCTTATTACAACAGTTTCACATTCTCTCCCTGGAAGTGCCTTCTACACCCCAAGAAAGTGATTAACTTTCTTAGGGTGTAGAAGGCACCCCAAGAACGTAAACACAAACACATTCCAAATAATCACACTACTAAAGCCTGTTCACATTAACGTTTATCAATAATACAAGTGACGAAGTACATCAAAGGCAGTGCTAGTTTTATAATGAAAAGTGTCACAGGTATATGTCCAAATGGATACTTTTAACTTGTATTTCCCAAGTGAGCACTTGCCCCAATTACATTGTTAGGAATGCATTATGTTTGATCAACAAAATAATGTTTTTCCTAGTTATCCTGTCTTCTCAAGAACTTCCCTTCCAAGGAATGAACACAATTTCCTGGATGCCCTGTCACAAATCTATTGTTTTATTGTGACCAGGTTTACTGGTAACGTTCACCAGCTTACTTACCAGGTTACCAGGTTTATACCATCACGAAGCCTCTCACTAAACAAATCCTCAACGTTTCCTTTCCATGATGGCTACCAAAGTATCTCCCTAGTGCCCTATATTAATAAGCCTATCACCAGTCAGATATGTTCTAATAGCCTGACTTGTAAATAAAATGTGGGTAGATGAATATTCAGTGATAGAAACTTACCAGGATAGAGCAAGTAGAATAAACTATGTAACCCGTTTGGCCATCAAATTTGTGAACTGAATCGATGGCAGCCAAGATCAATTCTTTTTGAAGATGTGAACACCTCTGTACATCTTTTTGGTCCTTGCTCGTTTTAACTCGCTCATCTTTACTAATGACACCAGTACCCGAGCACGGCGCATCCAAGAGAACACGATCAAAGGCACGTGGCATCATCTGTAAATAACACAATGAGAGTAATACCGACACAAATGGATAAGGAGACATCTGTGAAGGCAATGTATATAAATTCGAGTGTAGAAAAAGAAACAAGAAAAAATATTGTAGCTTTCAATAACACCTAAGTGACAAACCAGTACTGAACAGCTAATTAGAAGGGAGTGAATTGGATCATTTTTGTATGAAACCTTGTGCATTTAAATCTGTGTAGATTTAAATGCACAAGGTTTAAATGTTTGTGTTGCAGTGCTAGTTACCCATAATGTTATAAACATAGGCATCAATTAACACCTTATATTCCTTATTGCCTTAAAATACTCTCCCAACTTTCCTGGTGCATGCAGCATCTATAACCCATGATATATCTAAAGTGATGCTGGCTAACAAGAGCAATCAGAAATTACACAGAATGGCAAAAAGAATACTGTTTGGGACTTCATTACTGGACACCAATAGGCCTTGAGCAAGCCCATTAGAAAACACCCACAATGGATAACATTTACTTTTGCTTAACAAATTTTGGCATTTGATTAAAAAAAACTTGTTGATTAAAAAACAAGTTTCCATTAGCAAATGTTTCTCAATAAATAACCCTTAATATTATTAGTAAATCTATAGAAACATTAGTTTTGCAATGCTACATAACTTAAGTGGTGTACAAAAAAACTTGTCTGGAATATAGGCAAACCTGATGAGAAAGTAAGATTACTGTACCTTAGGAAAAGCTCTGCCATCATGTGAAGTTATCACAGAGTTGGTGATTCCCATGCGGTGAAAGTTACCAACCAGCGCTTTAACACGATCACGGTTCAAGTCATTACACACAACCATCCCTGTATTTCTCATTATTGCAGCTGAAATAAAACAATAAATCATAATAACTAATTAAAGGTAAATACTATATAGGCATTTGTCATGAAAATTTTACGTGCCAACCTTCCAATTCTTCAGTTACATGTGTAATTGCCGAAATACCAGCAAATTTCCGGCGATCCCATACATTTAACTGTTAAATGGGACCAGTTCCTCCAATTTTTTTAATCTAAAACAATAATGAAAATTATGTGAAAATTGTGATTATGTGAAAGAGCATCTAATCTTAAATACGTCCACTTATATAAAAGCAGAGCATCTAAACTAGTCAAAGATCAGATCAATTATTTGTAAATATCTCTGGCACCATTACAATGTCGGGTAACTGTGTTTCCAACCACTGGCACACTTGATAAAACTACTGCTTGACTTGGTTTAATCTATCATTAACCCTTGTATGGCACCTGGCTATTTAGCATGTGTCACTCACAGGCGTATACAAAAAAAAAAATCTAAACCTGTTAATTTGTGTTCACTGATCATGGGAAAAATAATAAAAAAATCGTAAGTGGCATATATTGCCCGCTATAGGGCAGGGAAGTCTGGCAAAAAACAGGCGCTGACTCAGCGTGCGTCCCAGACGGTCTGTTGCTCGCCAGGTGTCAGGCCGGAGTTGCCACAAAGAGATAATTACCTGATTATTTCAATTTCTCTGATTGATTTTTCGTAGTTTTTTTGCTGTAATATTATTCAATAGTGTGTAGTGTGATATATTTATATAATAAAATGAGTGAATCATTGCTGTACTCAAAAATATGGTGCATATTGTTGATTCAATTATGTTCATCATACAGTGAAGAAATACTGTCGGTTATTACACTATATACACAGGTTATATATAAGTATCTGCATGTTTTGTTCACCATAACGAACCACTAAGTTGCTATTATGAGTCAAAAAGTAACGAGGAGTGACCGCCACACACCAGCCAGCCACTCACTCCCTCAACACCTCACTCGCCCACGTTCTCCTCCCACCATACTGTTTTTGCTTTTATTCACTATATACAAACGTTATATATAAGTATCTACATTCGTGTTCACCATAACGAACCACTAAGTTGGTATGCTGAGTGGCAGTGGCAATGGCAGCCAGTGGCAGCCCGCCACTGGCTGCCACTCCCTCCCTCACCTGACTTTCCACCATTCTCCTCCCACCATACTGTTTTTGCTTTTAGATACAGATGTTACAAATAAGTATTTACATGTTTTGTTCACCATAACTGTACATCTAAGCTTGTATGGTGAGTAAAGGCACAAAGACTTAGCTACTCACAGTCAGCTGGTGGCGGCCGCCCTCAAGGCCAGACGCACTAATATTTCTCCTCCAACAATACTGTTTGTGATGTTATTGCGCTATATACACATATTATATATAAGTATACACCTGTTTTATTCACCATACTTGTACAAGTAAACTGGTATGGTGCCCAAAGACCATAGTGGTCACCAGTAAACAACATAAGTCGTGCAGACGACGCCACCTCCCTCGCCAAAGGGCGGCTCCCAACCTACTCCTATTGCTGTTTATACCCTCTATACACACGTTATATATAAGTATCTACATTTGTGTTCACCATAGCAAACCACTAAGCTGATATGGTGAGTGCAGTCAATAAAAGGTGGCCACACACAGTCAGAAGACAACGCCACCACCCTCCCTCCCACAGCATTACTCCTCCCTCCATGGAGCACAGCGCTAAATATCACCACAATCCTGCTATTATCAGAACCCTGGTCAGTTTTATCACAGTCCAGGGTCTTCTGTAATAATATCATCACTACATAATAGCATGAACAAGTATATTATGGCATTTTTAGGCGATGCTGTGTTCACAAGCTGAACAGCAGTGCTGTGAGCTCATGCTGCGTGCATCAGGCTTGGTAGCTCACTCAATACTGAGGCCCCTAACACCCGGGAATTTGGCCCACAATTTTTTTTTTAAATGGCGTCTGTTTACAAGAGCCCTGATGAAGGTGTGGTGAACCCTGTGTATCCGCGGGCCGTTTAAATCTTGCATAGTACTCCAAAGCATCATATGATGTGATGCGCAATTTACTGAAAGTCGGTCAAAGCATCATATGATGCGATGCGCAATTTAAGGCTTAATCAAAATGTGTAGCTTTTGTTTAGCATTGATCAGACCACTAATCAGAAGACTTGGCCAGACTGGGCCATGGGAAAATTGATTCCCAGAACCAACAATAGGTGGGTAGCCCGAATTTTCTGGCCAGTTTTACTTGGCATTGTGTCTATGTTAGATCACCATGCTTCCCTTGCCTCTAATTTGGGTCTTGGTGTTTGGCAAGTCTGGGCAAGTCCAGACACTCTGATGCCAGTGAAAATACATCTGAGCTGCCGAGGGTCAACCCAGAACACCAGGTATACAGTACTCTTCATGAAATGCCATATACAATACAAATTAATAGGGCCAAGTGTACCTGTGAGCCACCATCTACCTAGTGGCCTTGACAGAAACAGGAAGCTGCCACCTTGTTAAAGGTCTCCCCATGTTTTCTGATAATTTTTTAAACCCAATGGGATTTTGATTTGCATTAATATTTTTACATTTACATCTTTGGCAGATAGGTGGTTGGTTCTAAGGGTATAAAACCCTATGGGTGAAAAAGCAGCTCCTGTTTCCTGTCTTACATTATGACTTGTTAAGCTTCAAGTTGTTGCCCATTGTATGTATTAAAATGTTAACTTTTTGTTCTGTTTATTTTCCACATAGCACATGCTTCTCAGATTATCCATTTCTACTGCGATGTGTATATTTTTTACACCATCTTGCATTCATATAATGGGGTCAGTATAAGCACTTCCATGCAGCCCTTAAGCTTTATTTCTATCATGTTTTATCAAACCAGGGCTTCAAGTGCACAACCACTGTCCTTCCCTGACTAACCTTATTCAACAACGATTGCACAAATTCCATTCATCACTCACACTTCCTACATATTTAATTCTATTTTCCACTTTAAGCTCTTTGCCAAAGCAAAAGGTAAAAATAAATTATACTCTCTAAGAGCTCAAAGTTCATCAAACTTATATTAACCACTGCACTGCGCAATTCGCCTTGAGGCTCTCGACGGGTGGTGCACAACAGGCCTCGGGGATCTTATAGGTATAGCATATGATTCAAAACTCCCGCGGCTACATGGGGTTCACATCAGTTTTCTCAGGGCACTTGTAAACAGACGCCATTTAAAAAAAAATCTTCGGCAACATTACCGGGTGTGAGAGCCTTAGTACCGAGTCAGGAATCAAGGCTGGTGCATGCAGCATGAGCTCACAGCACTGCTGTTAAGCTTGTGACCACAGCATCGCCTAATAATGTCAAAATAAATATGTAATTGGTATTATTTAGCCATGATAGTATTACAGAAGAGCCTGAGTGTGATAATGACTGTGTACAATGTTCAAATATCAGTAAATCAATGCAGTTCAAAATGTTCACAGCGCTCGCCACAAAACCACAGGATTATTTTGTCATCTGGGAATCTTCAAACAACTTCTCATGTTCACTTACAAAATAAACTTTTGTGGGAGGAGGAATTTTGGCGAGGGAGGGAGGGAATCAAGGTAGTGTCACTGTGTGGCAGCCACTCGTTTGGACTCACCATACTAGCTAAGTGGTTCGCTGTGGTGAACACAAATGTAGATACTTATATATAACGTGTGTGTATATAGTGTAATAACAGCAACAGGAGTATGTTGGGAGGAGCCATTTTGGTGAGGGAGGTGGCATCGTACTTGTAGCGTCGTCTACTGTGTGACTTGTCATGCAGTGTATGTATTGTGGCCGCTGTGCTGTTTGAACACAATACCAGCTTAGTTGTATAAGTAAGTAAGTAATTATCAAAAGAAGGCACCAAACCGGGAAGGCTATGTAGCACCATCAAATACGCAAAATAATCAGAGGGCGCTAAATATCACCAAGGATGCCAATACGAGAACAAAAACGCATAAGGCGAACGATATCAAAAGTATCCGAGTCACCAAGAATTCTATCGAGGGACAGGTGACCGCGAGGGGCGGTCGGAAAGCAAGACATACGCTCGTCCTGGAAGTCAGGACATTCAAGAAGGACATGCACGACCGTAAGAGGGACAATGCAACTAGGACAATAAGGAGCAGGGCGGCGCTCCATCAAGTGACCATGGGTTAAGCGAGTATGGCCAATACGCAACCTCGCCAGAGCTGTTTCCCACCGCCGGTTACGGTGGAAGGAGGACTGCCACGAGGAAACACAACATTTAAGAGTACGTAGCTTGTTACCAGTAACAGACAACCAAGAAGCCTGCCAACGGGTAAGGACTGAGGAATGGATAACCGGGTAAAAGTCGGAATACGGAATGCCCTTACGAGAGATGGGACAAGAGCGGACAGCTTCCTTGGCGGCAGCATCCGCACGCTCATTTAAAGACACACCAATATGGCTGGGAACCCAACAAAACTCAACCGACTTAAATTTACTATGAACGAGAAACAGCCAATGCTGGATCTCGACAACCACTGGATGAACTGGATTAAAGGACCCGAGAGCCATGAGGGCACTACGAGAGTCAACAACAACTACAAAGGAAGACTGACAACGAGAAAGTAGGAGACGAAGAGCATAGAGAATAGCATAAAGTTCCGCTGTAAAGATGCTAGTCTCCGGAGGCAAGCGACACATATAAGTGCGATCAGGAAAAACAACAGAGTAGCCAACACCGTCCGCTGACTTAGACCCATCGGTGAAGACAGAAACGGAGCGGGAGTGAGAAGAAAAGTGCTCGAGGAAAAGGCGTTTGAGAACTGTAGGAGGGGTAAAAGCTTTAGTGATGCGAGTCAAGGATGTACAAAACCGCGGAAGAGGGACCCTCCACGGGGGCAAAGAAGGAACAACACGAGGAGAAACATCAGAAATACGAACGGAAAGAGAATCCTGCAGGCGAGATAACCGGACAGAAAGAGGGAGGTGGTGAAGAGGAAC